CGTGGATGGCCGAGTATCCAATTCTTTCTTCTGGTTACAACTTTTATTCCACTCGGTACAACTTTAACTACGGAACAGGAACAAACTAACTTCTAAAGTTAATGTCAACTTCACAAACGATAACAATAACACACGGAAAACACGCGTTTCCGACTCGCGGGTTTAACTTCTTCTGCACTTGGTCGCTCCTGTCACTTCACTTCCCCCGTCTGGTTCTCGTCGTCGCTTATATCCTTTTCTCCAGGTATTCCAGATAGTTCTAGAAATCTCCAGAACAGGTGCGAAGCTTCCCGCTTGTCAGTGTCATATTTGACAGTAAATGGGGCCCAAATGGGGCTCCCATTTACTGAAACACCATGAATTTCGATCCCCCATTCCAAACGTGAGTACCCCAGGCCATTTCCGTTACAATATAAACTGATGGAAAAAATCTTACCGAATGAGTTTGCAAAGAGGTGGCAATTTTGGACAAAGCAACCGACCACATATCGTTCAAAAAGGATTTGGTAATCAGCCCACGGCCAGTGTTCAACACATGGTCTTCCAGAATAAAAAATCCCAAAACCGCATAAATATAGTTGCGGTAACTGTCCTCTGATTCATGCTGCAAGGGAAAGATAAAGAGTTTCCAAACAGGCTCATCTACATGGGGTATTTACCTACCATGTTAGTTGGGGGCTGCAAGACTAATCTAGCCTGCTTGGTCCGTTCCGATCTATAATACACTTCAAAGGTGGAAACTTTGCCCAAAACATCCGCAATGTGCAGACCCCGGTAGATGGGAGAAAAATCGATTAACTCTTGGGCGCTTAGGTCTTCGTCGGAATACTTCCCACTCGATTCTACAAGTTTCAATATTGACTTCACGCGCTTCTATTACCGTCTAACCGAAATTACCAAACGTTCGTTTCTTTTTCCTGCCGACCACTGTAGGATCGCTAGCCAATTGCTCGCTAGTATGCCGCATGGCAACTTCCCCAACCTTCGGTGAAAACTTCCTGATGTTTTCCAGGAAATCCTTCAAATCAGTCATCGATGCTGCCTCGATTTTGTCGCGGTACTTTGGAATTTTCTGATGCAATTGATTAGAAAACCTGTAGTTGGCCACATGCGGCAGATGGACATGTTCCAATTCTTCCAGAGTTTTCAACGCTGGATAATATCTGGAAATAAAACGTTTAGCTCCTCCAAGTTGATTCTGAACTGCTGAAAATTAGCACCGTTTCTCTGCGATTTGCTTCTGCAATTTTGAATAGGACACGAAAACTGGTAGAGATAAATTCACCTGACTGATCACCAAAGCGATGTTGCTCTGGACCTTTCTGGCTTGAAGCAGCTCAGTTCCCGACTTGGATAGGGCTTGAAACGAGGTGTGCAACTTTTTATCCAAGTCAACCACTTGGTTCTAAAACACACAATCCCCAGCTGCCTTAAGCCCAAACTCTCAACACAGCAGCCTCACTCACATTCAGGTTCTTTGACTGGGACTTGACTTCCAAGAGTTCAGTCACCGATTCAATGAAGCCCTGGTAGTACACGTTGCACAATCGCTCAATATCCTTGTCATGGTGCTTGATTCGCTCCTCCAGCTTCCTTTTGAAGTCCTGATGCTCATTGTTATCAAAAATTGATCTGGGAAATCGATGGGAAACGAAAAATCAGTGGGTTAGTAACAGAAGACTGAAGGCAGGCACCTGAAAGTGGGGCCCCAGTAATCATCAATGCCCTCAATTTCCTGCAAGTACAAGTCATAGGAGCTGTTGTTTTCGTTCAAGGGGTGCCCCATTTTGCTGGAATGGCTATAACAGGTCAACTATTGGGAGGTTGGTTCATTTTTGGATGCATTTTCACACTCACTGTTTTAAGCAAAACCTCCTAAAGTTGCTGATGGCAACTGCACCAACTTGGCTTTAAGCACTGTTGTGTTTGTCGCAAGCTATTTCAATAGATTTTGTTGAAGAAAATGGTTCAGTTTTACTGTATCTGTTAATATATACTTAATAGTATGTAGTCTGTGTACTGTATTTTCAATTTTCCTGTCGTTTATTTGGACATTTTCATTGTCAGTGTCAGATTTATTGGGTTAAAAACGGATACATTGTGTAAGGCCGCTCCGTATATAACTTAAATGTTCTAGTTAGGTCCATAGAAAATATAAAAATTATGCTATTTATAATTTGCAATATTGTATAAAATTATACAAAGTAATATATAAATATATGTAGATAATATTATTTCAATTTATAATATAAAATAAGTTATACTAGTAAAACTTACTTTATTTTGCCTGTGGTTACGCCCACTGTTGCTAGCATCTTTGACAAACAGAGAAGAATGCCAGTGCAATCAACCCCAACTTTGTTGATTGTCACTTCTAGTCTAGTGTCATCAGTGTGTCATCAGCACAAAATATCCCCCTTGGGTAAGTTCTGTGGTCATCAGCTGGAACATAACAAAACAAATTGTTTAGAAACCTAAAAAACAGTTAATATTCTGCAACAGTTGCATATATCAATATTGAGCAGCGCTTTAGGCAACTGCCACCCATAGAGTAAGTAAACTATTTTATTTTCTCTAAGCTACCACCGCAATTTTGTTCCTTAAAGCAGAATGCAAGATGAGGAAGAGACGCCCCAAGGCAGCGAAAACCCAGGCCTATTGAAGCCAGAGGTATGTAAACCCTGCCCTAGTTGCTGTTTGCAGCTACTTGAACGATTTGCCACATCCGAAACATTGTTTGTCCTTTTGCAGGAACTGCTAATCAATTGCATAGATATTTCAGTATGTGAGTCGGAAAAACGCAATAATGGGGCGCTGAACATCCGAGAACACTATACCGTATACTTAATTGAAACCAAGTGAGTGCCTTCAGCTGGCTGGGACCTGGATTCCATCAATCATTAATTAATTGTTTAAGATTGCTGAATCCATCCTTTGAACACATGCTGTGCGCGCATTCCACTATATGGCGAAGATATACGGAATTTGAGCAATTGCGTAGCTACTTGGAGATTAGTTACCCGTATATTGTTCTACCCCCGCTGCCTGAGAAGCAGGTGATGTTTGGATGGCAGAAAATCTCAAACGACACTTTTGATCCCAATTTCATTGATCGTCGACGAGCCGGCTTGGAAAACTTCCTGCTTCGAGTGGCTTCGCATCCTTTACTTAGCTGGGACAAACACTTTTTGGAGTTTTTGCAAAACGAGGAGGGTTGGCGGGAATCCTACAAAGCTAATGGTCAGTTCAGTTCAGTTTGAAGCTTCCACTCAGACTTAAAGTTAAGGGAATAATCGTACATATTTTCAGGCTACATGCAGTTGGTTGAGAGCAAGCTGCGCTCGCTCAGCGTTTCAATTAGACTGAAGAGAAACAACGCCCATTTTGAGGCGATTAAAGACGCAAATGTCGAACTGCACGCGGCGCTGAGTAGTCTACTAAAGGCCAGATGCCGGGTAGCTGAAAAAGAGTATGCCGTCCATAAACTACACGCGAATTATGGCCGAGTGTTCAGCGAGTGGAGCGCGAATGAGAAGGAAATGGGCGATGCTCTTCAGAAAACCGGCCACTACTTGGATTCGTTAGCTTCCTCCATAGACTCAGCACTGGAGGATGAAGAACTGCTGGCCGACCAGTTAAAGGAATACTTGTTCTACGCCCAGTCTGTACAGAACGTTTGCAAGAATCGCGAAGTCTTGCAGCTGAAACTGGAGGATTCTGAAGAGAACATTGCCAACAAGAACACTGAGCGTTCAAAGGTGCAACAGGGAAAATTGGGGATCATGTCACGGCTGTTCGGTAGCGTGGACACTGATGAAGTTCGCGAGTTGAAAGTCAGCGAACTTGATCAGCAGATTCAGGACGGAACTGTCGCGGCCGATAATCACAGAGATAGTCTCAAGTAAGCTGTAGTGGGAACTAGAAAATTTCAACGAATACTGATCAAACTATTTGCAGCGAATTTACCATTAAGTCATTTGCCGATTACGAGCGGTTCCAAAAGCAGCGAGTGGCAGATTTACGGGAAACGCTAAGCAACTACGCATTTTTGCAGTTGAAGACCGCTAAGAAGGTAAACTAGTTTGGAAGATTCGTTCACCCCTGTTTAACACTGCTTTCGGTTTCAGGGGTTGCAAAGCTGGATCCAGATCAGAGAGTGTCTTCAAAATATTTCATAATTCCAATTATACTTTACCGCAATCAACAAACGGGCTTGGGTACTTGATCGTGCAACAGACTGATGATACAGATTGTTCATTCCATTAAAAGCCCTTGATTATTAGGGGGCTTAAGGTGATATCCATCAGTACTAGTCACTAAGTTTTCCGGGTTAACTTTACATTAAGTTTCACATTTTTATTTAGTTTGTTAAATATATATTGTTGCCCATTGGTTTAATTTTTAATTTGCCACTTAAATGCATTTCCTTTAGTGTTTCTGACCTTCTGCTCAGCGCTATTAACTTGAAACTGAGCCACTTAAAAAAGTGACTCCAAAGGTGCTGAAAGTTTCATATAAATCACCAGGATCTTAATTTTTGTCAGCTTACAAAATGGAGTTTTTTGGCGGATGACGCTCTTGGACACGAACAGGCCAACTTGAACAAGAACACTTGACTCTAAAGATGCTGAAAGTTTTAAATAAGTCGCACAGGATGCTGATTTTCACCAGCATAGTCAATAATGGGAAAAATTGATGGTATCCAACAACTGCGCTCTATTCTTCAAAAAATTCGCAACTTTTAAAGTAAACCAGTTAACCACTTGAAATTTTTACCATCTAGAAGAAAACTTGACTCTAAAGACGCTAAAAGCTTCAGAAGATTCGCCGAGAATCCTGACTTTTGCAAGCTTTGTAAATATCCCTCTCAAAATGGATTTTTTTCATCCAACTTCGCTCTCACCATAGAAAAAGTTATCTAAAGTAGTTAGCGGCTTGAAAGTTTAACCATCTTTAGAAAACACCTGACTAAAGCTGCTCAATATTTCACAGAAATCACACAAAATCATGATTTTTTCAGCTTAGTAAATATCAAGGCGTAGTGATTTTCTTCAGTCCAGAGTTAATTTTGCCACAAAGAGCGCCTTAATACTTAATAACGAATCAGCATTTTTCCATAAAACCCACAGCTCGTTTTTCCATAGCGCAATCGAACCACCAGGGGGTTTAAGATAAATAATTGAGAACTATCGACATTATTTCCACAATATCGGGATATTCCTAAGCTGGCTTTAGTTCAGCACGATGAGCGATAAAACCGAGACTTCCATAACTGTGGGACTGGGAGTTTGGGTTAGCTTTTGCCTGTTGTTCTCCATGTGGATTTTTACCCGCTTCATGAAGGGCAAACAGCAAATGTACTCGAACTTGCACGTGGTTGAAGACAGTTTGAAGCGGATGCAAGAACAGCTCGAGGTGGAGCAGAGGAAGAAAAGCATGGGCTACGTGGAGAACTTAGACGAGGTGACGGCTTGTCTGAAAAAATTCCGTTCCCAGGCCGCGGAGGTAACAAATAAACCATCACTTGGCACAGTTATTGATAATAATATGAAACGTGTTGTAAGTGTTGTTGCTATGTCTTCTCCTCATATTCACCTCAATCGTTCGATACATTTCCCATTATGAAGCACCAAAAAGTGGTCGTCAACGTGTGGAAAATGCTGTCTTCGTCATGTTCGTATTTACTGTTGGCTTTCCTAGTTTGGTTGTTCCTCAAGTTGGCTTACGCCTGTTTTTGGTTTCCGCAATATTTGCAGGATCAACCAGACGATCAAGCCGCAGAAACCCCGGACAAAACAGTCGAAAATGAAGCTGGTGAAGTGCAGGCAGAGCAGCCAGTAGAAGAAACAGCGGAAGACAAGAAACGCGTGTAAATACATACTTTTCAGCTGTAAAAATAAACGATGTAGAAACTCTTTAGGAGCTTTATTTCAAATTTTCTTAGCGATTTGATGCGCAATGAAAAAGCCCAGATTATGAGCAGGGGATACATACGAAGAACGCTTTCTCTCTTTTCCCACGGAAGATTATTGAACCATTGAACACTCTTCTCCGGCTGGCTCGGGCCGAAGCGCGCAAGTCCTACGATTAATCTTTTATTATAGATCCCCCGAGGATCTCCTCCATGTTATGTGTATTGTGGCCTTTGTAATATAACCGTGTAAAAATCCTAATGAGTACCAGCGGCTAATCCCAAAGGGTTTCATGGGACTATGTTGACGAACCATCTCAAAAGTGTTTAGTGCACGATCAGACTGTTCCTTTGTTCCAATCGGTACTGGTTGGAACCTTGAAGCCTTGAAAATGGCGATTTAGAACGCCCTTTTATTCAGGCTCATACATCCAAAGCCCCAGGATTACTGCTGTTTTCCTGCCTGCAACATGATTGTCCATTTTGTCTGAATGTTTAGTTCAATGACCCTATTCGGATATGTGTTTTGAGGCTGACAGAGAAATGGATCATTGTGTTATGGATGCTGCTGTAATTCGTCTCCCTTGGTTGGGTTAATGCCCCTTAATGTAAGTACTTTTAGTTTCCTCCTAATATTTAGTTTCCTCGGGACGAAGTCCAAAGCGATTTTATGAGTCACATGTGACTGCATGCACTGACAATGTGCATTAATTAGTGGCAATTTCAGTGGGAGCGCTAGCAGCACCATAACCTCAAAAAAGGAGGCCCTCTTATGCCCAGTTAGGTCCGCACGTTTGATGTCTTATTCACTAATTTAACGCTAGAAGGCGCGATAAAGAGTTTTTCCTTTACTTACGAGAACTTGTTACCCGGTTTTCTGCGACTGGAAGCTAAAGATCCTTCGGTAACATAATTAAGTGCAAACTGCAGTTTATGCACTACTTCACTCCAGAAGAACTTAAACAACTTATTTTCCTCCCGCGCAAGTGTTTTTACTGATCAACACCGATTTTTTGGGACAAAAACTCGTTTTAAATTTGAAAATTTTTGACAACTATGTCAGGAGTTTGCTGTGAAACCCCGTTTGACTTTGGTGGCGTCGGTAATGTTGCCACGTCTCATGGATTTGAGTTTATTTGACTTACTTGCCCTATCCAGTTTATCTGTTAACATTAGCCGTCTTACTTCAACTCGAATCAACCAGTGCTGTTTATTTTTAACTTCGGTTTATTGCTTTGGAAAAGAACGCATGAATATCAAGAAAGCGCAAAAAAGTCAACATTTTTGTAAAAACCTGGGAAAATTTGCCAAGTTTGACAATACCGAAGGCAGACAAATGTAAACAAAATGTCAGTTTTATAGGTTATGACCCGGTGTAAATGTGAAAATTTAGGTTTTTTTGCTAAAAAAGTGCTGTTGTAAACTACTCGGCGTGAACTTGGGTTGAAAGTGTAATATGTGCTTACCAAAGGGCTCCTACAATGCCCGTTTTTGTCTTACTCGGGTAAGTTTTTCAGTTGGGCCCTTTTAGACTTTGTCCCAGCTCTAGGCCTTTGTTTTTTGTTTGTGGCCTCGAAACCCTCTAAGAATTGTCCAGGAGTTTAATTTATGCTTCCAGGACCTTGACAAGGCCATGTTTTACCTATCGGGGCAATTTCAAGGTTTTTACGAGTTAAAGGTTTAAGGGGAGCTTTCAGGGTCAGGGGTTAGAAGGAAAGGATATCAGAAACGCACTGGTGAGGCAAAGATGTAGATTAACCAAACGCGTTTTGCTAAAGGAAATTTATTGCAAGACTTAAATACATTGAATGGGCTTTGGATTCCAGCCTATTATGTGATGTTTCGTTTTTGTCTCATTCTTCCCATTCAGCTGCAGCTGAAATACACCATGGTTAAGGAGGAATTATCATAAACCGAGCATTAATGGGGGTTTTGAGTTCGAGAACACAGTCGTTTTTCTGTTTCTGTAAAGCTTTTGAAGGTTTTAGCCAAGGAAAAGGATGCATTGTAGATTAATTATTGCCGATATGTGTCTAAATCTGGTAAAAAGTAAGCAAAACAGATTTTCAACACTTTTTGAAGTTTTTCGAGCTCAAGTAATACTTTGCGGTCTCAGTACGTCTTTAGTATGCATATATATGGTGTTTGAGTCTATAAAACCTCAAAAACCACTTAAAAGGAGCCCAAATTTTCAATTAATTCAGATTTGAGGACTCTAGAGAACTAAAAAAGCTCTTTAACAAATAGATTGGGAACGCAGATTCGTATCTATTGATTAAAGGAAACATCTGAGTACTATCTATCTGTACGGGAACTGAGTTTGTTTTCAGCGCAAAGTTTCCCCAAAAAGCCAACACTTACCAGTACTACTGTTTCAAGAGTTTCAAAGGTCTTTTAGAAACTTATGAAAAGACTTGGCTATAACAAACAGGCACAGGACTTTGTTCATCTCGAAGATTTCGTCCATTATTTGCCATTTAATGGGCGGTTTTACTATGCAGATGCTTTTGTAAAACATCCTCTTGCATGGTTTGGGGGAAAGTTGGAAAGCTACTGAATCAATTCAGTTTCAGTGCAACTTAGGACATGTTTATATCTGGCAAGTGACGAAACGATGCATTTGGGTTAGATAAGTTTCTGGCCGTTGGCCACTAAATTAATCGAGAGGACAACATTGAAAAAACATTGTTCAGTTGATGGCGAAAGTGCCCTTCTTCAGCCAGTGTTAATGCACTCTAAGAAACACCAGTTGTTTATCGACTTTCTTCGCCATAATCCATTCGGCGATAGTGCAGGATTAATATTTATTAACGGTAGTTTCTCGATCTCGAGGCTTTCTTTCGTTCAGGTGATTTAGATTTTGCGTCGTAATATAGCGCACATCGTACCGGCAGGAGACAGGCCAGGCCTACCTCTAAACCTGCAGTTCAGAGAGCCAGTTTCCTGCAATCGAACACGCGGCTGGACGTGCGGTTTTTCGCATTGTCGTCGGTTTATCCACTTCTAAGTGATGTTCTGTTAACATCAGTATTACGTGAATTTCATTATCAAGTGCGACATTGTCCATTAAGCCCCAGCTATGACGGTCATGTCTACGAGCCGTGGCAAAGATAAAGAAAACGCGCCCCAACTGGAAGCTGGCACGATTAAACATGCATGGTATGTGTGGCTTTTACGGCCTTTTTTCCTGTCTGTCTAAAATTTGTTGAAGCTTTTTTGCTCTGGAGGGTTTACTTGCAGTTGCATTTTTTCCTTCGGTAGCGAAGTTTCAGATTGCGTCCTTAATCAGCTGCGCTCCTGATTCCGCTTTCAATGGGCCGGTGTCATTTACAAAACCTTCTGCAGCAGTACTTTCTATATTATAGTGTCCCAACCAGATTTTTATGGTTTCCAACTTTTTCCCCGGGAAAGTTGAAACCGGAGCTCGCAGGGGCGTTAGCCAAACTCCCTCATTTTCCAAGAGCGCCTGTTTAGAAAGTTTAAATCACTTTTGTTCTAAAGGTTCACAACATCGTGTTTATTTTGTCAATTTTGGCCTAATTTTCAACAATGAGTCGGTCATGAATCCGGGGCCATAGAGATAACTCCTCTTAATTAGTAGGTCATTGAGGTAGAACAATGAGCTGTTGCAACCCACTCGATCGAATTAGTCTAGATGTTAGCACTTAAGTATAGAATATGGATCAGTTGAACAAGGTAAAACTGTTTGAAAAAGTGAAATCTCGCGCTGATGCAAACATACTGATCGTTTTCTGCAACTTTAATCTGTTAGGAACTACTGTTAAAAATACAGTTTTTAATTTTTATAATCCTACAATTCTCGAAATAGTGTACTTAACGTTGAATAGTTTGCTGTCAGTATTTCCGGAGAACTAGAGAGAGCGGCTATAAAAACATTTTTTTTCATTATTTTCTGGAAAGCTCTCAAAATTAGTAATATGGAATTCGGGGATTTCGAAAGCGTAACGGCGCCCGGCTGATTTCGTGTAGTTTTAAAAATAATGTTGATGACTCTCTCACAACTCGGATGACTGCAATTAACACTATTTTAATAAAGACTCGCAATAGTTTCAAGGCGAAACTCTATTTTAATAACTCATTTTATTATTAAAAAATCTACTTTGAACGGTTCCCGGATGTTTTAAAGCTTCGTTTCGGGTGTAACCAATCGGCCGCAATTTAGAAAAAATCGAATTTAGAAAAAATCGAGTTTAGAAAAAAAAGAAATGATTGAGTTTAGTCTGGTAAAGTGCAAAATTTCGGCAACAGAACGGTGGACTGTCGACTAAAACTGAAACGCCGAAATTTTCAGAAAGCATTTTACCGCTCATCTTCGCCCCATTGTCTGAAGGTTCAAAAATCTCATATCTCCGAAACTATTGAAAATATCCATTTTGTCGTAATCACATTTTAGATAGCCCGCTTTAGGAGTTGCGTTTTATCAGTTTATGCCGGTTCTTCGAACTTTCCTTTATTATTTTGGTTCTATAAAAAATGTATAAACTCTTAGAAGCAAGCAAAGAAGAAGGTAAGAAGCAAAAATATCTACATTTTCCGTCTACAATCCTATAAGTATCTCCGAAACAGTTGAAAATATACAATCAGTCGTTAAGACTTTTCAATAGCCCGTGCTGAGAACTGTATTTTATGATTGTGATTTTATCAGAAATTTCTAACCTCTAAGGAGATAGGAACAAAAATGTCGAAATTTACGGGTTATAAGCCCATATTTCAGAAACGTCTGGAAATATTAAGTCAATCTTTAAGATTTTTCGATAGCCCGTCCTGAGAATTGTCTTCGAAATGTCTGAATAATCATTAGGACTTTTTCGATAGAGCATCTCCAGACCTGTATTTTCGGGAATCGGCTTTATCAGAAAATTCTAACCTTTAAAAAGCTAGAGCCAAAATTGTACAGTTTTACGTGTCTGTCGAAGTTTAAGTTTGTCTGTCGAGTTTATTTCGGAAACGGTTCCAAATGTCCGAATAATCATTACGACCTTTTCCATAGAGCATCTCAAAACCTGCCTTCTGGTGAATATTTTTATAAGAAAATTCTAACCTTGACAAAGCTAGAAGCAAATTTGAACACTTTAATTGTCCGTTGAAGCTTAAGAGCGTCTATCTTAGAAACGGTGAAAAATGTCTGAAAAATAGTTCGAATATTTTCTACACAGGAGAGGAAAAGCTACCGTTTATTGATATTGCATTATCAAGAAATTCTAACCTTTAAAAAGTTGGAAGAAAAAATGCTCAATGTTACAGGACAATCGCAGTTTAAGTGCTTCTATATCGGAAATAGTTAAAAATATTTAAACAATCATTAGGGCTTTTTCGAAAGAGATTCATAAAAACTCTCTTTCTCTGATTAGATTTGATCAAAATATGTTAACCTTTAAGGAGACAGAGGCAACATTTTTGAGAAATGAGATTTGATTATGAATAGTTTGGGCTTTTAAGACAAAGTCATGCTCTCAGCCAAACATTCCAAACTTGTAAAAAACAATCACGTGTTTTACGAAACGTCGATTTATCGCTCTTGACCATCATGAAGCTTTCGAACGCAATTGAATTTCACATTGCAAAATATGGACAATGGCTGCAATTACCGGGCGTAAAACCTCAGAAAATCCACTTTTACACAATGCACACTTATAATTTACTGCCCAGATTGTAAAAGCATTAACAACGAACCGACGCATGTGATCCCATACCTGATTGATAGCGAATTCCTAATTACCTGAACAAATAAATAGGTGCGATTGTTAACATGGATTCGGATCATTTAACGTCAAAAAATGGCAAAAATCGTTGAATTTTTCGGATTAGATTGCGTGCCCCGACTGTTCAAAACCATCAAATTCTACGGCGGAATCAAAGCCTGCCTTTACAAGTTATACAGGATGGATGGATTGAAGCCAGGATGTTGCGTCGGCGAGGACAAATACGGCAACAAGTACTTTGAAAACAACAGTTATTTCATCGGTCGTAATCGATGGATCGAATATGCTCCTTACTACGCTCTGGAATACGATGGAAGCCAGATTCCTGCCGAATGGTTTGGCTGGATGCATCACAAGACGGACTTGCTGCCAGATTGCGACCCATCCAGACCTCAGTACAAGTGGATGGCCGATTTTACGGAGAATTTATCCGGAACTCCTGCCCAATTTATGCCCTATTCCACTACCAAACCCAAAATCCATGCCTGGGTACCACCTGGCAAGAAAACTGCCGAAGCAGAATGTTAGATTATTGAGGTTTCGAACAAAGAAGTGGCCGATTTATATTGTCTGATTTTTGTCTGCCCTCAAAAAATATCTACGGTTCTCTTAGCGGCAGTGAATGGGCGATTACTCAAAATCGCAAAAACGCCAGTGTCTCTTACGATACACTTTAGAGGAACATTGAGCGTAATCTTTTTTATGCGTCTTTAATCCATCTATCCGGTGGAATACTCAGCATCCCGCTGTGTTTTTGGGTTTCGGAGTTAAGTGGGATTTTTTAAAGAGGCGCGCTAAATGCACTATATCTTTATGCTGTGCTAAAGGCAAGAAAACATTTGACTTTAGTTAGCACTGATGCTCTCATGAGCAACCATGTACATTTTTTCTCTTAACTAGCAGAGTTGATGCCCGATTTACCAAATTAACAAAATACCTTAAAACGCTCTTAATCGGCTTTAAATCTGTACTCGAATTACCCCAATTCTTCACTAGAGGCAAGAGAACTTTTGGCTTTATTTGTCAGGCTTCGCATTATTCGTTTTTTTTACATTTTTCTCATTCTCTGCACCCTAAATTCTTTTTGGTTTCGTTTTTGCTTTCCAAATAGCCGGCGATTTTCCAAGAAATCCACAATGTTTCCAAATTTGTCCACAATTTCGCCTTCATTTCTAATTCATGCTTTTCTGCTAGTTTTTTTTATGCTTTCCATGGTTTCATTTCGCATTGCGTAATCCTTCCTCAATTGTGCTTTCCATGAATATTCATGGCAATCGTGCGTATTTTTAAATATACATATACAATCTAGCTATTATGCTGTTTTTTTTGCAGGGTTCTTGGTAATAACTTCCCTTCATTAGCAAAATCGATTATTGTTCCTAGCCTGGCGTAATTTCGCCCCTTGTTTCGCCACCTTTAATAATGCAGCCATCCCCAATCAATTTATCATTTCTTCATATACTTTTTTGGCTTAGTTTTAACACTTTTAACGAGTAGCCTTGATAGGAATCATCAGGTTGCTGTCTCAATATTGAGACTAGAAGCTAAAAGATCCAATGAACACATGGGGAACGTTCCTTGGACGCAAATCTGTTTGTTTTTGGATTAAAATGATAATAATAATTCTAGAAAAATGCCCTGAAAATAGCCTGAGTGTTTTTCGCATTGGCTGGCGGTGTCCTCAAAACGCATCTCACTAATTCAATCGCGGCAAAAATAGCTTGCAGGAAGTGTCCATTTACTTTAGCCGTTTATCGTTCACCGTTAAATAGACCACAGAGTTCATATTTGCCATTGAAACAGTGCAATGTACGGGCCTCATTACCGTTACTTCGTGTTTCTGAAATGCTCAAGGCTGATGGAGTCGGTTTACGGCAAGTATTTTGAACAGAAACGCGAAAAAAAGTACATTGAAAATGCTGTTTCTTGTTCTGGTTCTTGGGTTCATGCGATTATAAAAAACAGAAATGTTCTGGCTGAGTGCCGCGCGGCTCGGTTAAGTCATTGTTGTTTGTATGTATAATTGAGGCTTAAGCTAGGATTTTTTTTATTTACTGTTTTTGTTTGAAGCATTGTTTCCGCCGGTAGGGTTCAACATATTATAGTGAAATATTGCAGCTTTCACTGGCGCAAAAAAAATCACAGCTTTAAAACCTCAACAAGGAGCAATTTGAAACTGTTGCACAATGTAGATGGAGGATGAAGCAGCAACAAGACCAATTTTTACATAAATCCAAAGTCGGGTTGATTTTTCAGAAGCCTCTAAACTTGGGCTACCGATGAGGGAACAGTGAAGGAACAGCGTGCAGTTTCGAGACGCCGAAAAAAATTCGTAATGCGAAAATGTGAACAGGTCGTAACATGAAACTTTTACACAGTGTAGATAAAGGACGAAACTGCAACGAGAGAAAATTTAGTAGAAATTTGGGCACCGGCTTATTATTCATAAGTCTCCAAGTTTGGGGTCCATAGCAGAGAAAAACACGTAGATGGAGACGCTTTAAATAAATTCGGAACATCAGCAACCGAATGTGAAACTGTTGCCTAATGTAGATTGAGGATGAAGCTGCAACCAGACCAATTTTCACAAAAATAAAAAATCGGGTTGATTTTTCAGAAGCATCTAAACTTGTGCTACCAATGAGGGAACAGTGAAGGAACAACGTGGACGTGAACAACGTTCAATTTTTTAGAAATTCGCGAACCGGCTTATTTTTCAAAAGTTTCGAAGTTTGGGCTTCACAGCAATAAAAAAAACCGCAGCTGGAAACGCCTTAAACAACCTTAATGCGAAATTCTGATCAGCTTTTCGCTATTTAGCAACTGGAAACTTTTACACCTTCTGGACAAAGGATGAAACCCACCTATTGAAATTTTTCGTTCAAATTGAATTTCTATCAGGCTTTAGTTGATTGGTTCGGTTTTCGCCTATGGAAACGGTTTAAGCCTTGAACTTATTGGCCAGCTTTAATAAGCCCATTATTAATTGACGACATTATGGGAAAATTAGCTGGTAGTTTTGTGAATTTAATTCGCCGCTCGGTCGACAATTACCGGTTCTGCCAATGGATGAATAATAGAGAATTAAAGGAAAACGTGTTTCCATTTAACCCAAAAACGGCCAGTATCCATAAAATATAAATTCCTTATTTTATCGACAATGTATTTTCGGAATCCCTTTTATAGATGGCCACCATGTTGGATTATGGTTTAGCTATTGGATTGCGTAGGAGCGCGCCTTTTCAATAATGAAACCAGGATAAGTAGATGACGACAATCGCTCATTAAAGAACCTTTCAATTCAAATGTGGCATTACGTGATTATAACTTAGTGATTATTCCAAGATGTACAGCGACCGATGAATCAGCAACATCAGTACAAAATTGGTTTCATTTTATTTAATCTCCATTACCAATGGAACGCCCTAGTTGGTTGTTTGTCATGGAAAATGCCTATCCATAATCGATGAATAGGATATGAGGCATGCTAATCACTTAAGGACGAATTAATCAGGCAAAAGCAGCATTGTGGCGGTTTGCATTCGGTAGACGCCGATTTGAATAGCAAAAACGTGAAGTTTCAATCCAAAGTCAAATCATTGAACTTTACACATCTAAGCCTGCACCGTGCCCTGATCTAAATCCACTGAACTTTAATGTTTCGGTACATTATTAGATGAATCTCTACTGCGCAAATGATTATCATTGAACAATGAGAAGAATGAATAAAGAGCAATTAGAAATCAGCTAATTGAAAACGTGACACGTTTCGCATAAGTTTAATCTCATTGACTTCCTTGTTGAGAGCGCATATTTTACTCTGCGACTTTGATTTCAGGCCTAACGAGATCTCAGACCGACTGAAGGGCGAAGGAGCGTGCAGAGGCAACAGTCTTTTGTGCCCGGCTCCTTTGTCGCGATTGCGCGTTGAGAAAATTGAGGGCGGGCTGATGGTGGCTGGAGTTGTGGTGGCGGCCAACTGTCAAATTATCCTCCCGATTTTTGGTTTTTTGTTTTTGCTTGTGGGCTGCGTGCTAACTGGTGAGTTGATGTTTTTTCACATATAATTGGACGGTCGATTCAACCACTGCTCTTGTTCCAGCTGCATCTTACAGAGGCCCCGGCGTAGACGAAGAACCGGACCACTATGCAGAACGAATCGCCTTTACGGGGAATTCGCGCATTCTGGGACCAGCCTGTATGGTAATCGGGCTTCTTATGCTCATCGCAAGTTGCGTCTTGTGCGTTCTGTCCTGTCGGGCACGTCGGAGGGAACAAACTGTCGGATTCCACTGTCCCTTGCACGGGGACTTTTATCCCCTCAGTCCTGTAACCAGCTCAAAAACCTTAGGTAAGAGAACTAAATCGATTTGCAACAGTCTAGTAATGGATGGTTTTCTTCCAGAAATAATCGAAAGAAACGGAAAATGTAACTTCTGCTGGCCGCGAAAGCGGGGACCAGGGGCGATCGCCGTCGGTCCCCCTCAGTGTCCTCACAGTCAAGTGTCCAGCACCAGAAGCTCAATAGCAAGTTCGCCTCATAGCCAATGCCCCACGCCGCTGCCCTTCTTGGTCAACACCGGCCCCTCAATGTAGGTGTTTATTGGTTTCATTGTCCAATTGATTCTAGAATGGAGTTTTTCTTTGTTGCAGTGGAGGAATCACGGCCACCTCAACAGCTCAACAATCGCCCGCCGAACAGACATTCGGGTCCATTCGCTCACTAAACGTAGGACGGGAGGTGGCCAGTTTTCCTCTGTCCAGGACGCCCACTCCTCCGTTGACATTCGAAAGGTGGGTCTTTATCTGTAAGGCTGGTGCGGTGTTCGTGGAGCTGGGAGAGGTTTCAAAATTTGTTAAGACCACTATTTTTGCGAGTTTTCTGAATCATTTTAGTTAATTTTTCTCGAGTTTTTAAACGGGTGAGCGAATTTCCAGTTGCTACCAGCTCTGGATTGAAAGTAAGGAATTTTTAAGGGAGGTCCTGCAGTTGAGTGTGAATGATCATTTTCAACGTATTATTTACAGGGTTAGCAAAAATCGTAATTTTGCACGATTCTTGTGCAAGCTTCAGGGCTTTTAGCCTCAAGTGTCTTCTATAGGGTGAGCAAATTTCCAGTTGCTACCAGCCCTGGATTGAAAGTGAGGATTTTTTAAGGGAGGTCGTGCAGTTGAGCGTGAATGATCATTTTCAGCGTATTATTTACAGGGTTAGCAAAAATCGGAATTTTGCACAAATCGTATGCAAGTTTCAGACCTTGTAGCTTCAAGTGTCTTCTATAGGCTGCGCGAATTTCCAGTTGCTACCAACTCTGGACTGAAAGTGAATACCTTTTAAGGGAGGTCGTGCAGTTGAGCGTGAATGGTCATTTCAGCGTATTTTTTACAGGGTTAGCAAAAATCGGAATTTTGCACGATTCGTTTGCAAGTTTCAGGGCTTTTGGCCTCTAGTGTCTTCTATAGGGTGAGCGAATTTCCAGTTGCTACCAGCTCTGGATTAAAACTGAGAAAATGTTAACGGAGGTGGTGCAGTTGAGCATGAATGGTCATTTTCAGCGTATTTTTACAGGGTTAGGAAAAATCGGAATTTTGCCCGATTCCTCTGCAAGTTTCAGGGCTTATAGCTTCAAGTGTCTTCTATAGGGTGAGCGAATTTCCAGTTGCTACCAGCTGTGGATTGAGAGGTACTCATTTTTGAAAGAGTGCGTGAAGTTCAGCGTGAATGTATTTTTGTTTCATCATTCACAGGGTTGGCGAAAATCAGAATTTTGTACAATTTGAGTGCAAGTTACTACCAACTCTCGATTGAAAATGGGGAATTTTTGAAGCAGGGCTTGCAGTTGAGTTTGCATGTGTTTTCCTTCCATCATTTACAGCGAAGGTACAAATCAACATTTTCCGCGATTTCCGTGCAAGTTTCAGCGAGTTTTTAGCTTGAAGTGTCTTCTATAAGGGAGCAAATGTCAAGTTGCTGCTAGCTTTGGATTGAAAGTGAGGAATTTTTAATTAGGACGAGCTGTTGAGTGAAATTAGTCATATTTGGCTCACGGTGCCAGTGCTATCAAGATATCTAGCTCTGGATTGTCTCCAAAAATCACTTTGTTCCAGATCTCAAAACATGGTAAACGTTCCCGATCAAGAAAGACTTGTAGATTCCCAGTTCGAAACAGTTCCAGTTCACAGGGAAGGTCCGCGAAAATCGGTCTCAATCGTGTTGCCGACCGATGAAGCAGTATGACCTGTGGATTTATAATTTTAACTTTAGAAACTGTAGAAATTCATCATTAATCATCCTTCATACCAAACATACTTGAAGAGTATTTTGAGTCGCGAGAAGATTCACTATATTCCGTTAAGTACAAAATTAGTAAATTTGTCATTGGTTCCTCGATGTTCTCTGTTTCTGGAAGCTGTATTAGGACGTGCGACAAAAGACAAACGTTTTTACTTTAATCAATTTGAACTAAGGTAAGTCTACTCTATTAGTTTAAGTAAGCTGTAATGATATTATCGATAAGTGCTGTTAGACTGAAATTTTGCCCCTAGCAAATGTAGATGTTAGCCAGTTAATTCTAAGCAAATCCTTTCTCTCCCCCACAAGAAAAACACACAGAAAGGCACTTTTACATTTACTGTGGTAAATCTTATAAGCCAGTTCTCATCTGGGGCAAGCACCAGAGAACTAGTCTTTCGATTTATTAGGACGTTATTTAAGTACAATGAAAGACTTAAGTATATGTGATTTTATATTTAAATAATATTGTTAATTCAGTGGTATCTATAGGCGTTTTGCTAGATTATTACCGATATATTCCCCTCTCAATGGATCTAGATATAGAGGTATATACAGTGTGTGGAACATAAATTTATTATACATGTAGAGCGGAAACGGTTGTTTAGCGTTAGATTAGCTGTTACTCGAATACGCAGCTAATATAAATAGAACCCTATACTTTTCCCGTTGGATTTCATTTTTACCCGATAATTGAACCAATTTCACCTCATTTATATTGCAGGGAAGTTAGTGACGCACGTGAAGTGACCTTTCGTTGTCTGTTCAGTTTCTTTAGGTGGATTTAATTAGAAATAAAAAAGTTCTCTTGTATGTAATCCAAATATTACTTTGGTAAGATATCGAGCTGAAACCTGGTTTATATTTAGGGTTCACACCAAAGAATTGATGGGACGGGCCTCAAAGGAAGAAACTTCAATAACATTTCTCTAAAGTGAAGCGTGTGATTAGATATATTGGGCAAAAAATGTTAGCGACCTTTAACGTGCAGCAACCTGTAGGCCCTTGAATTTTAAAACACCCAGTTTCTGGTAAATTGTAATAATTATAGACAATAGTCTGTTGTAAATTCACTTTTGTAATAAATCGTCACAACCTCGATCTGGACGAAGCCTTTTGATGATTCAAATGAAGCATGATCCACTTACAAAAGAAAAGGGCGCAAAAAAGGTCAAATTTCAAAAATTAATTTTGAATTAACCATTGGATTAAATTGAACTGAATTTACACCATGCTTTAACTGAAGCTTCTTCTTTCGACTGCTAGCATCCGTATTCGAGAGCCCCAAGTAGTTCTAAAAAAAAGAGCTTTAGAAGATCATGATTCACAAACAAAAAAGCACACAAAAAGGTTAAATTTCAAAAATTAATTACGAATTAACCATTGGATCGAATAGAACTAAATCTACACGATGCTTTAACTAAAGCTTCTTCTTTCGACTGCTGACGTTCGTATTCGGTAGCCTCAAATGGTTCTTAAGAAAAGAGCGTTAGAAGAGCATGATGCACACACGAAAAAGCGCCCAAAAAAGGTCAAATTTCAAAAATTAATTATGAATTAACCATTGGATCGAATAGAACTAAATCGGCGCCACACTTTAACTAAAGCTTCTTCTTTCGACTGCTAACGCTCGTATTCGAGAGCCCCACGTGGTTCTTAAAAAAGGAGCTTTAGAAGATCATGATGCCCAAACGAAAACACACAAAAAAGGTTAAATTTCAAAAATTAATTACAAATTAACCATTGGATCGAATAGAACTAAATCTTCACGATGCTTTAAGTAAAGCTTCTTATTTCGACTTCTAACGTTCGTATTCGAGAGCCTCAAGTGGTTCTTAAAAAAAGAGTTTTAGAGAGCATGATGCACAAACAAAAAAGCGCCCGAAAGGATCCAATTGCAAAAATTAATGACTCGATTAGAACTAAATCCACACGATGCTTTAACTAAAGCTTGTTCTTTCGACTGCTGGCGTCCGTATTCGAGAACCCCAAGTGGTTCTTAAAAAAAGAGCTTTAGATCATGATGCACAAACGAAAAAGCACACAAAAAGGTTACACTTCAAAAATTAATTACGAATTAACCAGTGGATCGAATAGAACTAAATCTACAGGATGCTTTAAGTAAAGCTTCTTATTTCGACTTCTAACGTTCGTATTCGAGAGCCTCAAGTGGTTCTTAAGAAAAGAGCTTTAGAAGAGCATGCACACAAGAAAAAGCGCACAAAAAAGGTGAAATTTAAAAAATTTATTATGAAAACCATTCGATTAGAACTAAAGTTTCTTATTTCGACTGATGACGTTCGTATTCGGGAGCCTCAAGTGGTTCATAAAGAGCATGATGCACAAACGAAAAAACGCACAAAAACTCAAAATTCAAAAATTGTTTATGAAGGATCACATGTTTAACTCAGGCTTCTTCTCCAGACTGCTTTTTTAGCGTTTAAGAGGCTCAAGTGGTTCTTAAGAAACAAGCTTTCGAGAAAATCGCCCAAAAAATTGAAAAGTTAACAAGTCCCAATCCAAATCGCCCAAAAAAAAACAAATAAACGCCACTTGTGTTGCGTACCGTTTCCGAAAATGATCATAAGTCTTAAATATTATAAATTTCTAAACCGCAATAACTCCACAGTAAACCTGACCATTTTCAGCAGTAAACCTGGCTGCAATTTAACAAAAAACCGTCCACATTAATGACTAACTAAGCTAAGTTGAACTCTTTCAAAGCCGACTGCATGATGGTGTCTTTGACGGCGCAGAACACGAGTTTGATGTTTTCAGTGTCTGTTAGAACACAAAACGCCATTAGGGGGCTGTAGAAAAACCCAGCGGATTTACCTACCTGTGGCTGTAGTAAAGTGCGAGTAGCAGGCGCGTTCAGGATCGGGATTTTCACGCAAGTACAGCTTGCAGATGTATTCGCGAGCGGCAATATGGTCCTGTTTAGCACCTGGAAAAACCTTGAACTGAACAACGGAAACATTCTCTTGGGAGTGACATTACCATCGAAATCCGGGAAATAATCCACTAGGTGGGAAACCATGATTTTCTCCTCCAGCAGATCCTTCTTGTTCAAGAAGAGAATGATGGAGGAGTTTTGGAACCACGGGTATGTGATGATGGTTTTAAATAGAGCCTTGGACTCCTCCATGCGATTCTAGAACGAAGCAAGTGAATGGGAACAGTCGCTCCCAGGCAGGCAAGAACAAACCTCATTTTCGGACTCAAAAAGGATTTGATCGTACTCGCTCAGTGCCACCAAAAATATGATGGAAGTCACATTTTCGAAGCAATGAATCCATTTCCTCCTCTCAGATCTTTGCCCTCCAACGTCCACCATTCTGGCAAAGAAGGCACTTTATTTGGCTTCACTAGCCCAGAATCGACGCGCTCATTTACCTGAAAATTATGCTATCCAGGTCGAAAGGATACTCCAAGATGCCGGTGGTTGGGGCCCTGGCCCTTAAAATGTCCTGCTCAGTGGGCAGATAATCTGCTGATCGAATTCGCTCCAGATCAGCAAGATAACTAAAAAAATCAGAGTATTGGGAGGAAAATGGTCTACTCTGGAAAATCCACAAACTATTTAGCAGAGTCTGTAAGCTGATACTCCCGTCGCCGGTCGTAACATTCCTGTATTCCAGAATCATTCCACAAGTCGCTAATCGCGTCCGAATATGGAGCTTCGAATGTGGTCACTGTCTCATAGTCAAGGCCCTTGATTAGTTCGGCCTTCTCCTGCAATCCGCCCAGAATAAACTAAGTGCGAGAAAATATTCAGCTGAATACTTCAATGGATGGTGCTCCAAACTGGATCTTAAGCATGTCCATCGCTCGGATCATGCTTTGCATCGCCATAAAGATGTTCTGGAACACCAGCTTGATGAAGCTTCGCTTGTCCTCATCCGAGTATCCCGCTCCATGTATAATCCGCATTTGCTTAATAAAGGTGGACTTTCCAGACTCCCCAGTACCTAGCAACACTGAGGTATTAATATCCAAACAAATTTCTCAGACTCACCTAAGAGCAAAAGCTTCAGCTCTCTTCTAGCATCGCGTTTGTCCCGTTTTAGCTGCTTTTCAATCTCCGCATTGATGCGTTTCTGCTCTTTGGCTTCCTCAGACTGGAAACAAGCCATTTTGCGTGTAATTTGGCACGTTTTCGCATTGGCTCTTTATCTTCCGCGCCCTTGTCCACAACTGATCATTCCATTAATGTAATCCTGTTAGAATAACTAGATTGCGGAAGCCTTAAAAAGCCCTCCAGGTTCGATTCAAAAGCCATCAATTCTTTAAATATACTTTATTAGGAACAGACTAATCTATGAAGTAAAAATTATGTAAAATCCGTAAGTACTGTTAGGTGTAGGCGACATTCGATGAGTCTCTGAGAATTCTTACTTTTCCTTCTGGCTAAGTCACGTCGATGACGATCCATCTTCAAATGGTTTCCTCGCATTTTCTAAGGCCAGTTTTTCTGGAACTACCAGAAAAAGTTTTAGTTTTTTCGTTGATTCAGCTTCAAGTCTTGAAAAATGATCTTGATTTAATGTTTCAAAGAGTGAAAATTCCCCATTTGGTTTCAGGGTGTGAGAGCTTTTGAGGTAGAGCTTCAAAGTCGAGGATTTCTTCATTTCCAAACAATGTTCGTCATAGTTCAAAGCGCAGGTTCAAAAACACAACTTTCCAGGTGTTAACTGGGTCTAATCCCGAAAATTTTCAAGTTTTGGGTCAAAACTCGATGAAAAATAATTATTTTAAATAAAAAAAAAATTAATAAAAAAAATCATGATTTTTTTGATTAATTTAAATACATCAGTGATTTTTTTATTTTTTTAATGAAAATCAATTTTTGCCCAACACTGCCTAAAAGCGAAGAAACTCCAGTTTCCAAGAGTTTTTGCAATAAATGATTATAAACTTTCGCTTTTTCAGTTCGGGGAAATATTTTTGGAAAAAAACCTAGAAATAATTATTAGGGTTTTGTCTATAATTCGAAGCTGCAAAGTTTTCCCCAATTTTTTGCAAAGCGGTTAAGTGTTCCAATAAAATGTATCTTATAGTTTTTCACAGACAATACATGAATATTGCCCGTATTTTAAGTAAAACTAAAAAAGAATGCGATTTTGCGTAGAAAGAATTTCTAAATAGAAACCTTGCTAAAACTGGAGTGACCTGAAAATTTAAAGACAATTTAGAAATCTTCAGAGCGATGAGGACGGCGAATTTTCCCAATAATTTTTTGTAAACTTTTGTTTTCTGGCCGTTTTTTTTAAGACAGTCCGAATTACTTTCGGTAAAAAACTAAATCAAATTATTTAGTTTTTTAGATAAATTCGAAGCTAAAAAAGGTTTTCTAAAGTTCCCTGCAAAGTGATGAATGGGGCGAATTTTGTAGCAAAATAAATTTTGTGGTTTTTGACTGAAAAGACTCCATTACTGTCAAAAAAGAAGAAAAAGGGGTTAAAAAAAGTCATCAACATTTGCACCATTTGCGCAGCACTGCGCCAACTCCTAAAAATTCAATGAGTTACCCACGCGCCTATCCCGAATATTCTCGACGCTTTTGTTGAAATAAACTAGCAAAAGTTATGTAATATATTAAATAATAAATCTTCCAATCAACGATATTATTTCAGGCTCCGGTCGTGACAATGTGTTAATAACATCCATAAATAGCCAGATAACTGTTCGTCTTGGCATATCGAAAACCATTGCCAATTAGTCGGGAATATTGTGGGAAAAATTCGGAAAAAACATAAAGAATAGATTAAACCGACGCATAAACAATAGATTAAAATATCAGTGGTAAACAATGGCCACATGGTTGGTTCAAAGGTCGTTCCGCTTTATTTAGTAACTAAATCAATAGCATTTGACTAATATTGATTTGCCAGGGTACTTAAGTGGCTCTAGTCCAGCAATTATGCCAGATTTGACTCTCGAAAGGATATTTTTTTTGTGTTTAGAAGGTGGTTTTGCACGAATTAAAACCAAAAGTCAATCGGTGAAAAACACTTTTTATTAACGGAAAAAACATACAAAATTATCCTTTGACATAACGGGCCAGTCAGTCGAATGTTGATTGTTAATCAAAAAAAATAAAACTAGACTAACTAACCCTGACAAAGACATCTCTATTAACCAATTCACAGCACGTTAAGGACTCACTTTATTCTATACAACTACATATTGTACACCAATCAAATATGCATCAGTCTTCGCGAGTATCCCAGTTAATTAGCTGCAAAAATTCGTCATTTCAATTAGAATTTGAAAACATTTTCCTCAGCCCTTAGCTGATTTTTTTGATAATTTCTGAAATTTCTTTTTCGATGAACTGTTCGGTGGCCGGCAACACTGCACGGCGTAGGTATCTTCTTTTAACTAACGTTTCCTAATTTAAATTACATTTATTAGAACTATTTAGCTGCTCAACATTTTTTTTGTAAAAAAACTTTAAACACTGGGGTATTGAATTTTAAAAGCTTAACTCTTTGGAACTGCAGTCGACTGTTTGAACAATTTTATTGTATTATTATTTATAATCTTAGGTCATGCGTCAATATTTCTTACAGCTACAACACTAAGAGTCAAATATCTTGGAAGTGTTCAGTCCAAGTGTTTGCTACCAAGCACGTTTGCCCTCAAGATTGGTGTTTTTGAATTTTATCTTGGAATGTTGGAAACAACTGAAACACTGAAGCTGAAAAGGGAATACAAATCTTGTTCATCGAAATGTGTAGATTTCATGAAGATGATGGTTAGATTCTGGTTTCTTCTGATGATGCAATCTGTGTCTTTGCGCTCTTCAAATATTTTTTGAATAGGAGAATGGATTTTTTTATATTTCTGTGCTCGCGTGCCAGTTTTTAAAAATCTGATTCCGTCTGGTATCTTTCACTTTGGAATTGTTTTTTCTCTTTTGTCAAAATAATTGTCTTTAAGCTTTAATCAACCTGTGTGATGTTTATGGCGTTTTTCGTGTCTAAACCAGTGCCGATTTTTTTTCCTTAAAGCCTGGAAGCTTATCCCCTTTAAGAACCTGCACAAATGTGTTTTTCCTGACCGACCAGGCCGATTTTTTAATTTTATTTATGTTTATTTATTTTTCTTATATAATTTCTTATCAAAAATGTTATTCTTCAAAAAAGTACTAGGTCCAATTTTTTTATAGAGGAAGTCCCAGTTTAGAAGAGTTTCGAGAAAATGCGAAAAACGTAGATTTCTAAGAAACCAAAAGCATTTTTTAGCACCCCAATTTTGAAATTTTACTTATTTGAGATTTGAAAACTAAGCTTTTTATCAAAGAACGTTATTCTTCAAAAAATGTCCGGCCGCTCGAAAGCTACAGAATTCAATTTATTTCGAAGTCCCAGTTTAATTGGTTTATTGGGACATTTTGACCAGTCAACCTCAAGATTTTTTGTTAATTTTTTAAAATTTTACTTATTTAAGATTCGAAAACTATGCTTTTTATCAAAAAACGTTATTCTTCAAAAAATATCCGGCCGCTCAAAGACTACACAGTCAATTTTTTCATATTCCTAGTTTAAAGTCTTTTAAACGCGAAAATACGAAAAATGTGGTTAACAAACAAACTCAAAAATATTTTTCAGCGCGCCTCCCCAGATAGCACAAAATATTACATACATATTTAGGAAATATTTATATGTTTGCTAAATATTTCAGATCAAAAGCAAGTATTTCGTAAATATTATTTTTTAAATATTAGTTTCTAATATTTAATTAGCATGAAACAAATAAGTTATTAATAATTTTCTTATTACATAATACTTTTTGTACCTATATATAACAACCTTAACACCCAAAGAGTTACTAATATATTATTTTTAATAAATGTGAACAAACTTTAGAACATATTATCTGAATTTTCATGAATAGCAAATATTTCAGAGCAAAACGAAATATTTTTTAAATATTATTTAAATCTTATTTAGAAAATATTTGTTTCT